TTTCATAGTGTTAAATGGATCGCGACTACAATAAACTAAAAGCTCAAAGACCAGTTTATACAAAAATGGTATAGTGATATGAATAGTTACATACAGAATTTTTTTTTAAAAAAGGTTTGAATGTGAAAAATACTTAACTATTTTACCAAGAAAATTTGGAAATATCTTTTCAAAATTCAGAACAAGTAACCATCGTCTTCCAGTAGAGGTGGGTAGATGGAATAATGCTGAAAGAAATGAAAGAGTGTGCTATTTATGTAACAATAAATTTCATTACTTACTGGAATGTAATTTATTATGTAATATTCGGAAAGAATTTTTTGTTACATAAATACCATGTACATCCAAATATTAACAAATTTTGTAATTTAATGACAAATACTGACCCAGTATTCATAAGAAAATTGTGTATATTTATCACCAAAGTGTTTGACACTATCTGTCCTCCTGTAATCTCTGCTCGTCCATAATTATTGTAAATATGTATATATATGTACCTCTTGTACCATTCATATGATTTATTGAGAGAATAAGGAATGAATGAATGGAACCAGGGGGGGGGGAGGCTTTAACCCCCCTTTTTTTGCAAAGACATAATGTAGGCATTGAAAAATGGGGTTTAGTCCCACAAAATTTTTTGTTGTTGTTGGTTTAGCCGCTCCCCCTATTGCAGTTTGCTTCAGACGCCTATGCAAAATGAGTTATATATTCATTTTATTGGTCAATCACTTGGTGACAGATCTTCATTTCTATTATGAATTCTGTCGAACATTATGCCAGACGTTGGGATAAATTTGAAAGGGAAGACCTGAACACTTTGTCAGAATGGATTAAGTGTTTTAGAAATGTATTAAAAATAATTGTATTGGAAAGTTAAAAGTCAATCAGGGTTCTCCATCAGCTGTTTTACTGTGTCGGACCCGACACAGTAAAATTTTCCCGACACAGAAAGAAATCAAATTTTATGCGTGCGATACAGTAAAAATTTTGCGACACAGTAAGATCTGTGATCATCACAAAATCGGAAAACGGAAGGATGCATGGTTCTTATATTGACTCAATATACATGTAAGAAGCATGTATCCTTCCGTTTTCACTAAATTGGAGATTATAAAAGAATTGGAAAGACTATATATGAATACTATGTTATATAGTTCCAGCAGACAAGGCTTGTAACAATATCGTCTTTGTTTGTAAGACTCATTATATTTTATAAGTTATAAGTTTCCTACTGTATATCCGATACAGTAGGAAACGAGTATTCTAAATAACTTGTGACATGACCTTTCTTATGACCTAGCTTTACATGTGTATTTGGGATCATACCTCTCAACCAATCAGATGATTTTGCAGAAAGTTGATTTAGTACCCCATTTATAGCAATCGCAACTTAAATGCGGTGGACGTGCAGGTATCAATCAATTTAAATAATTATAATTATGAGATGCATTATATAACGTGTTTTTCCCAACATTTAATTTATATTTGATTGCTTATGTTTTTCCTTTCTATTTACCTTTTGTGGACATTTTTTTTTAATTTAAACTACGAATTTAGTGCAAAACATTTTGATCCATAAGATACCACATACCTTTTTAGAATTAAAATCTTGAAGTACAACCCACGACTCAATACATTTTATGTTCTGAAAATCGTTTATCTTCTCCTGATACATTACATAACATTCACGTAGTATAACTAAAGACAATTTCAGCATTTTTTTTATACGTCATAGTTTAACAATTAATGGAACAATAAAATTATTTCAGTAATAAGTGCATCTCTCTCTCTCTCTCTCGTTGTAAACTACTGAAGTATAATTATTGATATGACTTCGAAATTCCTTTAATATAGAACTGTATTTTAGAAGAATTTGGTTTTAATTCTACGTCTGGAAATCCAACTTATACTCAAAGTTCACTTTCTAAGGATGAAATTCTGCAAAATTGTATTTAATTGTTTAATAATTTTAAAAAAGTAATTTTTTAAACACATTCCAGTCAACCAAGGTGAGTTCGACCTACCCTACCTATAATGGATTGCTAAACTTCATAAAAATCCTTACAAAGAAACATTGCCGGTTCCAGCAAATGCTCTATCGAGCCCCTATATTTACTCCTTACAAAAATATTAACTGCTGTAAAGGAAAATTTTCAGACGTGCTGTGCTACAGCATATCTTAGACAAAGTGGTGTAAATCAGATATGGATTCTCAAAAAATTTCAGACAAACTTTTAGAAAATTTAAAATCACATTTTTTTTTAATTTCAAAATTCATTAACATCAAAACGTACGACTTTTCTACACTTTATACAACCATTCCTCACGATAAATTAAAAACTAGGCTTTCTGATTTCATATATAGACCACTGCTTCTTCAATAAAAATGGAACTCGGAAATGTTTGTATTTGTAACTGGTCATTAACAAAACACTTTGTTAAATATCACTGATTCTACACACAAGTACTCTGATGTTTATATTAAAAGAATGCTGGAGTTCCTCATTGACAGCATTTATGTAACCTCGGAGACCAGGTTTTCCAACAAACTGTTGGAATTTCTGTGGACACTAATGGTGATCCTTTATTAGCTGATCTGTTTTTAAATTCCTGTGAAACAGAATTTATTTTAAACAAGATGTGTTTGTGAAACACTGATGCCCCCGTATGTCAATTTATAGCAAAGGTTAAATTTTCTCAAATGAAAATCAAATATGTTGGTATATATACCCAAAGTAAGGTGTAGTCTCGAGGAAATACCTTTGAAATATGAAGGTCCTAGCAGCACAACCATTGAATAGATATGGAAAGGGTCAAAAGTTTTTCAAAAGTAAGTCAAACATCAAGGTCAAGGTCAAATGCTCAAAATTAATGGTGCCCAAGGAAAGGTCTTCTCACAAGAAAAACACATGTGAAATATGAAAGCCGTAGTACCAATCATTCAAAAGTTATGGCCAAGGATAAAGTTTTTTTTCAAAAGTAGGTCAAACTCCAAGGTCAAGGTCAATGGATTACAATTGTTGGTATCAAGGAAAGGCCTTGTCACAAGAAATAGATATGTGAAGAATAAAAGCCCTAGCTCCACCCGTTCAAAAGTTATGGCCTAGGTTAAAGTTTTCCAAAAGTAGGTCAAACTCCAAGGTCAAGGTTAAGGGGTCAAAGTTGTTGGTATCCAAAGGAAGGTCTTGTCACAAGAATGACATGTGAAGTATGAAAGCCCTAGCACCAACCTTTCAAAAGTTATGGCCAAAGTTAAACTTTTCAAAAGCAGGTCAAACTCCAAGGTCAAGGTCAAAGGTTCATTGTTGTTGGTATCCAAACGAAGGACTTTTCACGAGGATTACACACGTGAAGTATGAAAGCTCTAGCACCAACCGTTAAAAAGTTATGGCCAAGGTTAAAGTTTTTCAAAAGTAAGTTAAGCTACTAGGTCATGGTCAAAGGGTCAAAGTTGTTGTTATTCAAAGAAAGGTCTTGTCATGAGGATTACACATGTGAAGTATGAAAGTCCTAGCACCAACAGTTCAAATGTTATGGCCAAAGTTAAAGTTCGGTAAAATTTTGCAAAACTGGGTCAAACGCCAAGGTCAGGGTCAAAAGGTCAAATATGATAGTACCCAAAGAAAGGTCTTGTCAAAAGGAACGCACATGTGAAATATGAAAGCCATAGCTCCAACCAATCAAAAGTTATGGGCAATGTTTAAGTTTTTACGGACAAACAGATAAACAGACAAACAAACAGCTAGACAGACGGACAGGGCAAAAACTACATACCCCCAAATCTTCGATACGGGGGGGGGGATAAAAACATCTACATGATAGAAAGAAAACACTTGCTGTGGCCCTCAACTCAACATTCAGATATATCGACGACGTTTTATCAATTGAGAATATAGTTACTGAAATTACATTCATATGTCGACCCGATATACCCCATCAATTTTAAACCGAGGCAGGTTACTGAAAGATAAATTGATGTTACAGGGATTTCAACAACTTCATTATAATGACATTATTAGCAAATATATCCTAACATTGGGTCGTATTTTGACAGACGTGTTTCATACCAATTGCAAGGCCTTTGATCTTATACTAAAATTGACTAAGGAATGTTCCCTCTACCTTAAAATTAAATACAAAGGCTCACGGTCGGTGTGACTGTTAACAAAGGATTATTACTCCTCATAGGCACCAGATCCCACCTCTGGAATTTCTGGGATCCGTGTTTAATGCCTTGTTTGCAGACTGTTTTGTGTGTAGATTTATTTTTAAAATCCATTACTGTTCGTCATCTTCTTTTTCACTACAGCTGTTTAAATAAACAAAGTTACCAGTATGATATACATGAAGTTGAAAGTATGTAAAGTTATACAGATGACACACGACAGATCTGAGCTCATGTGAGATAAAATGTGAAGTTAGGTAGTGTTCAGTTGAGATAATTGCAATACCTACACCATGATTTCTGGGAAAAAAGAAAACACAGTCGAAGCTCATTGTCTCGAACTCGATGGAATCATCCGAGGACTCGAGATAATGATAAAACTTCTATATTAAACTTTTATTTTTTTTTTCCAGTATTTATTATTATGGGTTTTTATAGTCATTAAAGGTAGATAAATAAATAAAAAAGACTATTTTACAGGTCAATATTATATATTTTAAAAAGTGCATGAAGATGAAGTTTATCACTGTTTAAATACATGCATAAAAAATTGTATACTCGATGATGAAAGCTATAATCGGTCAACCCATCAATAACCTGTGTAGCACACCTTGATGTATCCCCCCCCCCCCCGGGGTGTGACCAGATCAATAATGAACGTTCTTATAAATTCAATGCCAATTTGAAGGAGAAAGAAAACAAGCAAAAGTATTTCATTCTCTTCCTTGTTTGTTTTATTATGTGTGTTCGTCTCGAACTGAAAAAAAATCATGATTTTCCGGAATTGTTAGGAATCCTTTGAGGCATCATTCATTCTTTTTTCATAAAGTAAAAAACAACTTCCGGGTCAGATGTCATTCTTACACGTTACAGGTGTTGCACAGTTGCCGGTTTTTTGTGTTTAATTTTTCCAGATTTGTTATCAATGACGAAGCAAGGATACTGGGGCAGAAAGAAAAAGAAGGGTAAGGTTTTGGATTCAGGAAATCTTCGTATAATTGTGCAGTTTAATTTAATATGCCTCAACTAAATGTGCACCCATTAGGACCTATACATGACATCATGTAATGATCAAGTATGCGTATTTTGTTGAGTATCTCCTTTCGTTTCAAAGTGATTAAACACATTTGATAAAAGCAAACATATTGCAAAGTGTAATACATTACAATAGTAACAACAGTGAAAGGTTTGTGTGCAAACATCGTACATGTAAACTTTGAACACAGCTGCTCATGCTTATGCCTGAAGGTTTGTCAGTTATATAGATGTTGAGAAATTGTTGCAGCATATTGATATTGCTATTATTTCAGACTCAAAGGACGGGGTTAGGGTTAATATGTCACAAAGAGAGTGGATAACATATACATTTATAGTTAAATACCTTTCATCTGATGGTTTGAAGCTGACTTGTTAAGGAAATCAAAAGTGAAAGTAGACTGTTGTCAGGTATTTGATATGAAATAAGAATGCATTAGAATGCAGAATGCATATTTATATGAGAAGCAGGTTTTATTCATGTTTATATTTACTTATATACTGTATATTTGCAGTCTGATACATGTATTTTAAAGTATTTTAATCTCTGAATACAGAAAATGGTAACAAACAAGAAACAAAGCCCCCCAAGCAGACACCGAGTACAGGTAGTAAGAGAAGAAGGTGTTGTGGAGGGGGATGTCTGGGATTTATCTTCCTTTTGTCTGCTCTAGTTTGTGGAATAGCACTGTTTTATGAAAGTAAAGATTTCCACAAGAATTTGGGTAAGTACTAAATAAAATTTGAAATCGATTTCAGTCACTCTGGAGATCAATTAGTTATTTTCAGACTATACAATTTCATATTAGATAATCTGAAGAAATTATTGCCTCAGAGCATAAGCGTTTTATATATTTCTGTAATCAATATAGAACATATATTGTATATGTACTCTGATATTATTGTTCAGTTATATGTTGTATAATAAGTCATTTTGTTCTGTGATTTGATCCTTCAAAGAGAGCAGTGAAGTTTTAATTTTGGTGTATGTCTTAGCTAGACTGAAGATAGGGCATCAGATGTTTTGTGATTTCAATTTCCGTGGGCTTTTGATTGAATTGCAAAATGGTAAAAGTGAAAGGATCACAGAAATCTGGCAAAATACCTAGTTATATATGCTAGTAACTATGAATACATGATAAATTTATCTATTATATAATTTGTCATGGATTAAAAACAAACAACAGTTGTAGTTACAAGTACATGCAGTTCAACTTTGGTATCTATATGATTATTACTTTATCATTATAAAAGTTATGCATATTATAATATTCATAAGAATAAACATGTTTTGCCATTCCTGAATATGACCTGCACATTATTATGTATATCTTAAAATGAGAATCAATGTATATTTGTCAACAGATTATGTTGCGAGGCTACATGCAGGAGATGAATTTGTGGATGCAGTGTACTTGAAAGCCTCAGATATCTGGGAGAGTGTGAAACCCTATGCAATGTTAGTTCAGGAGAAAGGGATAGAACTCTTTCACAAAGGGAGAGAACTTTTCTACAGAGCCAAAGAAGGTTAATTGTTTTATAATAAAATCTGTGTAAATCAGGGAATTGACTGTTGAACATTTGTCTTTTTTTTTAAATATTGTGTTAATGGAATATATGGACACAATTAGAGCATATTACATTGAAAATGTAATAATAATGTGGACATTGAATATGATCCAAAAGTTACTAATGTATTTGTTGTGTCAGCCATAGAACAATGATCTCAATTAATACCGGTAATAATATTAAGGGAAAAAAAAATTAACTACCCGGTATAAAAACATTGAAGCATATATGCTAAATGAAGTTTTTTTATCCTATCTTGTAATTAAAAAAAAAAAAATGAAAATAATGCTGTGAAAAATGAGATATGTTCATTTTGATCAAAAGTGGAGAATATTTAAATTTTTGCACAGTATTAGTACATGTACAGCTTAATCTAAATTTTTCATGAAATTACTAAATGTAATAGATATATGTACATACATGTATGTTTAGAGAAAGGAAAAGAGAGTGCACAGTTAGATATATGTATGTGTGTTATAAAAATGTAATTGAATTCAAATTAATTGCTTTTTTTTAATAAAATAATGAAAAAAAAATAACAAAAAATTGTTTATTAATATCAGTAAACTAATGGCTATTAGCAAATTAGTAGCATTAAATTTTTTGGTCCGTACCTCCTTGACTTAAAGAAAACATTATTCAGGTAGGAGAATATAATGACGGTTTCAATAAGCAAACACCCCTGGCAAATGTAAGAATGTGAATTGTATCAGTCCAGCAATTGTCATTTAATTATTTACTGTGAATAGAAAAGAAACAACTTGCATATTTTCCAGAATCTGGAAACAAGAAATTGATAGGAAAACATCAAAAATTTCGTGACACCTGGTCATTTGGTATTTATAAGTGAGACATAATTTTCACTAACTTTGGTTATTGCTCTATATTATCCTTAGCAATGCAAATATATCAGAGATATTAAATTTTTGTTATAAGGCAGTCTCACGTAATTACGCGGAAATAAAGTTCCTGTGAATAAAAATTCATTTAGAGTAAATGACCTAAAAAATGATATGGGGAATTTAAATTACTTTGTAGAATGGTTGACCTTAGCTTCAGCACTTACAAAATGCTAAACATTGGTGGCAGAGTGACAAAGTTTTAAATACCGTCAAATGATTGGATATTTCTGTTAGTACAAATGATATGTAAATGATTGAGGGTGTCATGAATGAGAAAATTTTCTTTCTAACATCAATAAATTGCCCTTGCTTAGTATTTTAGTGCACAACAAATTGTGCCATACAATAAGTATTTTGTAAGAACCAATCAATTTAATATTTGACAAATTTTCCTTATCATAAATAGACATTATATTTAACATAATTATCACTAAAGCCTGACCATAACAATAACAAACGGCATCTCCACTACCCAGACACAACAGAAATAAAGTTCAGAATCAGTCAGGGTTTCTATAACTTGAAAACGTGAATTTATCACATCAATGATTTAATTTATTAATAAACAAAAATATCAAATGAACAGACAAAAAATATCCCCTCCAATTAAGCAACTAACAATAATATAAACTCATGTACCATAGAAATATATTTTCCTGAAAGGACTGTGTGTATACAATACCAAAGAAAAAAGAATAAAAAGTAATTTCATTCAACTTATATAATTAAAATATATATAAATATATAACATGAAATAAAATATGTTTATTTTACTCTGAATGAGGTTGTTGTCAGTTTGAAGGAGAGCTACAAGCACTGAGGCTTTAGCTATCAATTAGCGATTACACTAATTACAATGGAAGTGTAAGTCGTATGCAACTTAGTTTAAAATACAGTCAAAAATATACTTCATGTAAGTACAAAAAAATTTAATGATGACTATTAACTGACTCAGATTAAATTTAATCTAATTAAAAAGAGATTCTTACATATATATGTTTATTTTAGGGATGGAAAATTTACTAAAAGATAAAAAGGCAGAAGAAGAAGAAGCTCAGAAGGAAAAGTTAGAGGTGGAGAAGAGGTTGGCAGAAGAGAGAAGAAAGGCCGAAGAAAAAAGATTGGCAGAAGAAAAGAAAAAGGAAGAAGAGAAGAGATTAGCTGAAGAAAAGAGGAAAGAAGAAGAAAGAAAAGCAGAAGAAAAGAGGAAAGCTGAAGAGAAAAGATTGGCAGAAGAAAAGAGAAAGGCTGAAGAAAAGAGATTAGCTGAAGAGAAGAGGAAAGAAGAAGAAAGAAAAGCAGAAGAAAAGAGGAAAGTTGAAGAGAAAAGATTGGCAGAAGAAAAGAGAAAGGCTGAAGAAAAGAGATTAGCTGAAGAGAAAAGGAAAGAAGAAGAAAGAAAAGCAGAAGAAAAGAGGAAAGCTGAAGAGAAAAGATTGGCAGAAGAAAAGAGAAAGGCTGAAGAAAAGAGATTAGCTGAAGAGAAGAGGAAAGAAGAAGAAAGAAAAGCAGAAGAAAAAAGGAAAGCTGAGGAGAAAAGATTAGCAGAAGAAAAGAGAAGAGCTGAAGAGAAAAGATTGGCAGAGGAAAAGAGAAAGGCTGAAGAACAGAGATTAGCTGAAGAGAAGAGGAAAGAAGAAGAAAGAAAAGCAGAAGAAAAAAGGAAAGCTGAGGAGAAAAGGTTAGCCGAGGAGAAGAGAAAAGCTGAGGACAAAAAGAAAGAGGAAGAAAAGAGGCTAGCAGAGGAGAAAAGATTAGCTGAGGAGAAGAAGAAAGCAGAAGAGAAAAGAATTGCAGAGGAGAAGAGGAAAGAGGAAGAAAGAAAAGCAGAGGAAAAGAGAAAGGAGGAGGAAAAAAGAATTGCAGAAGAAAAGAAAAAGGCAGAGGAGAAAAAGAAAACTGAAGAGAAAAAAAGTGATGAGGAAAAGAAAGAAGAAAAGAGAAAAGCTGAAGAAAAGAGATTAGAGGATGAAAATCTTGAAGCAGAAATGAAAAGGTTGGAAGAAGAATTCAAGAAACATGAGGAAGAGAGGCAAGCTGAGGAGAGGAAAAAAGAAGAAAAGAAAAAAGAGGAAGAGAGAAAAATGGAACAGGAAAAGAAGAAAGGAGAAGAAAAAAGACTAGCAGAGGAGAAAAAGAGGTTGGAGGAGCAGCAAAAAGCAAGTGAAAAGAAAAGGCAGGAAAAAATAGAGGAAGAGGAGAATGTTAATTATGAGAAGGCTTCATATCCCAAGAAAGACATAACCAATGATGAGGATTACATGATAAGTGACTTGCTTGATGTTGGGGATGATTATTTACAGCAGGTAAGATTTGCTTTAATTTTGCATTTTTTCTATATTTTCAAAACCAAATTTTTCTTCAATTTGAAAAAAAATTTAAGTCACCTTTAGAAGTCAACTAAAGTTTACATCTATAACCTACAAGTTGCTGTTTGCATAATGTACACATGTATTATTATTATTTAATTTTTCTTCAGAGCATGCAGATATATTCTCTAATGCCCTGTTCACACAGAGTTTAATTCGAATTAACTCTAAGTTACTGTGAATTAAATTTAAAAACAGAGAATTAACTGCTAGATGTTCATACCTAAAAGATAGACTGTCCATAACCAATGGAATATAGTCTATGTCAAAATTTCAACCGGCCAAACTGTGTATTCTATTTATTTAGCGTAAAAATCTATTCAATGTATTTTTTTCTTACGATAAGCTTTAATGAGTTCTATTGACCATTGACACCTATGACGTTTCAGTACCACATGACCCCTTTCTAATTAGTGGAGATTTTTACTTCGAGGACCCTATATTACGGGCGTTTTATCGTCTAATTACGGCCGTTTTCAACATTATTTCATAATAAAACGATAATAATATGTTTCAAGAATATAATAGTGTTTCATTTTTAAGAAATTTAGATACGTGATAAAAACCCTTTAATTCGAATTAATTTACTGCACATCAAATTGTTTCACATTAGCTCCCCATGAACGCTAAGCGAGGTTAATTCGAATTAAATTTTGAAGCATGCATAATAGCAAAACTAAACCACATATTGGTGGTCAGATTTAAGTATACTTATGCTATTTTTGAAAAAAACAGAGAGACATTAATTTTAATTATCGCTAAAAATGTGTACAGACACTATGACAAGGTACCATCTGCTCTGAATAAGGTGATCTGGTTTGCAAATGACATCAAAATAGCCTTACTGTAGAAATAAACTTTTATTTCGCATTAGTTTACTTAGCATAACCTGTCATGTGCATGCAAATTAATTTGCATTTAAATTTTATTTCGCATTAATTTAATGGGAATCAAATATTTAATGCACATTTGTGTGAACAAGGCATAAGATTTACATTTACTACCGGTACTGATTATACTTCAGATTTACCATTTTTTTATATTTTTGCTTTTGTTTTTCTTGTTTGTATTTTTTTTTTTTTTGAAGTGAAGTCAATTAAATGGCATGTATTCAATTTTCAATTTGCATCATTCTTCACTCTTTACAAGAAAATGCTGAATGAAGCCAAAGATCATTTTGACCATCTGTTATCGGAGTATCCACACAGTCCACGAGCTATGTATGGCAAAGCCTTAACACTTGATAAACTGGCTGAGCAACAGAGGAGCAACAAGTTGCTGGAGGAATCTATAGCAATGTTGCAGAGGGTGATGGATGCTAAAGATGCCCCCGATGGACTTGTGAAACAAGCAGGCTTGATGCTGGGAGAAAAATTAACTTTCAGAGGTAAAATTAAACTGGAAATATTAATGAATTCTGCGAATTTTATTCAAATGAATTCAATTATGTATTCATTTAGTTAAAATTTTGTCAGTTTCATGAAGATGCTTCAGTGATATTAAATCCCTGGAGAAATTGCACACTTAAGTATTAAGTTCCATTTTATTCTAAGCAGAAAGTCCCCACAAAACCTTTTTTTTAATATAAGCATGACATTTTTATCCCCATTAAAAATTCTTTTATTTAATTGCTGAATACAAAAATAGACTAACCAAGACAGATGTTCATTTTTTTGCGAATAAAACTTGTGAAAGGTTTTTTTAAAAATAGCATGTTTTATTTAACATTTCATTTTAGGCTGGATGTCCAAAGCAGCTAATACTTATGAGAGTCTGGCGAACAAGTTTCCCTCCGACCTGAGTCTGAGAAATAAGCTTGGTGTGGCCTACATGATGATGGGACAGAATGAAAAAGCCAGACGTGTGTTCTCTGATGTAAGATTAAATTTCTTCTTTGTGGAAAAATTGCCAAACAATTGTTAACTTTGGGAAACAATCTGATCACTGGTATATAGATTTTATACTATGTACCAGTTTTTGCTCAGATTTTGTCTCAATCCCCTATGTTTGAAAAAGGATACTCAAACATCGTTGCCTCAAACTTGATGAGGCTGCATGAGAAAAAAACTTCAAGATATATGAGAATATAAGATATTGATCAAGGCTTAAAATATATTAAGAAAGAGTTTTTTGGACTTCCAAATTACTTTGACATATCCTTGGTATTTGAGATACATGTATCGATGCTGCAGATACTGATGTTCAGCTGTAAATATTTCACGATACATTTTATGCTGAGGCTTTCTGGATTAGGATGCTAGACAGTCATTTTAACCATAATCAGATTGATAATTTCTTTATAAACATTAATATTCTCTAATGAGAATCAATTCAATGATATATTGGTATAGGATATGTAAATGAATCCATTATTTGTAAAGAAAAAGGGGAGAGGGGTAAAAACAATCAGAAAAATTAACCCATGATTCTCTTTTTTTGTGTAGATTCTCCAAAAGGACAAAGGTGATTCTTTTGCTCGGGTCCATCTGGGATTCATTGTCAAGGTCACTGACAACAACCCAAGGGAGGGAATTCCCCTTTTAAGGGCCATCATGGAGAGTAACAATAAGGACATACAGCAAGGGAAGTTCTATTTCCACCTGGGAGATGCATACCAGAGACTGAACCAAACAGACAAGGTATAGTAAAAAAAAAATCTTGTCTTCTTATTTTCTAACTTTTATAATTCTACAAGTAATATATAAAACATGGTTACAGCGAACATGCTTATAATGAATTCACATGTACAGCAAAGACGTTTTTCAAAAAGTGTAATATTTCTCCTTTTTCTTGCAGGCATATGAAGTATATGAGAGAGGAGTAAAGAAAAAGTTGTTTCTATCAAAGTATCAGCGCTCTCTGTATAACTGTGATGGGGTTAAGGGACAACCTTGGTGGACACCAGAGGAAACAGGGTATCAGCAGTATCTCAAGGTAATGTCAAAGCTTCAAAAAGGATTTTTTTTTTTAAATAATTACAAAGAAAATATTTGAAAACAAAAGATTTATCTAAGATATTACTCAATAAGTTGTTTATTTATAACTTTATTTATTTTTTAGATATTGATTCAATTTGCTTAATCTAAATGTTATATACATGTACATGTAGAAAAAAAAAGAGTGCATGGTTTGATTGAAGGAGTTACATTTGCAGTTAAATGTACTAATAAGATGCGTGTACATTGTTTCAATGAACCTCCAAGGTCAACCAAAATCACTTTGGGCCATATGTACATGGCTTTTTTTAACATCCAGTTGAAACTTTATTGGTTTTTCACTTCTCAGTCAGTGTCAAAATAATCACAAAATATGACCTGATTATAAGCAGCTTAAATTGATATTCCCTGTTCACTATTCAATATTTTGCTGCATGCTATTGAATTTGCCATAATATGGGGCTTTACTACATTTATACAAACACAGAAAAATTTCACATTTGGGAAATAAAAATGTCATAAATCTTTTTAGCTCACCTAAACCAAGGGCTGTAGTAAGTTTTTTGTGATAAAAATTTGTCCGTAGTCTGTCGTTGTTGTCGTTGGTGGCGTCGTCGTAACCTTTTTACAATTTTATCTTCTGATCCAGAACCACTGCACCAATTTCAACCAATTTTAGACAGAGTATCCTTAGGTAAAGAGAATTCATTGACAAGTTTGTTCAAAAGAAAGGCGACACATTCTTGCAAGGGGAGATTATTAAGAAATGGTAAAAATTGGGAGGAGTCATTTAAAAATCTTCTTCTCAAGAGCCACTGGGACAGAAAAGATGAAAATTATGTGAAAGCTTCCTGACATATTGTAGATTTAAATTTGTTCAAATCATGACCCCAGGGGGTAGGTTGGGGCTGCTATGGGCAATCAAAGTTTTACATGGTTATAGATAGGAAAAATCTGTAAAAATCTTCTTTTCAAGAACAGCAAAGTCATGATCAGTCATATTTATATGAAAGTATCTACAGGTGGTGTATATTCAAGTTTGTTCAAATCTTGACCCCCGGGAGTGGGGTGGGGCCACAAGTTTTTACAAAGGAATACATAAGATAAATTTTTAAAAATTTTCTACTCCAGAACAGCAAAGCCATGATCAGTCATATTTATGTTCAATTTTGTTCAAATTATGACCCCAGGGGGTAGATTGGGGCTACAATGGGCATTAAAAGTTTTACATAGGAATATATAGGAAAAAGAAACTGCTGATTAAGTACAGGAAGGACTATTAGGTACTCAGGTGAGTGTTGTGGCCCATGGGCCTCTTGTTTCCTTATGTAGAAATTTTATTATTTTAAGATCTTGACTGACAATTGGAAACTAATCAGAGATGAGGGACTGAAGCAGATTGATCCAAAATCAGGCAGCTTTATTCCAGAGGAGGAAAATTTACTGGATAAAGGCCAATGGAAGCAGTTTACACTATATGCTAGAGGTACAATATACCTCTCATCGCCAGACTTCTACTAGCTTTGTTATATCCCCCCACAAACAAGGGTTGGGGTTGGTGTATAGGAATCACCTTGTCTGTCTTTCTGTCTGTGCAGTTGTGTCTGGACCATAACTTTGTAATGGAGAAACAGTGGAAGCTCAAACTTGACATAAAGATTGTTTATGAGCTGAGAACATGTCTTGACCTTGACTTACAAGATATGGTCAGATCAGGAATTTAAAAATGTCAAGAAAAGTTAAATAAATCATGTGTGGTCTATAACTCTCAGATGGAAAAACATTGGAAGTTGATACTTCACAGAAAGGTTATTTATCATGTGTTTTTAATCAACTTTGTCTGAGGTCATCTGGGCAAGTTGTACATGTAGGTCACTGGCAGAAAAAGTTTAAAATTTGTGTCTGGCCATAGCTTCTAATAGAGAAACATTGGAAGTTGATGAGCAGAGGGACTGTTATAACTTTGATACAGGGTCATTTGGGCAAGTTCGAGGACTATTTGCACAAATTATTTTTTGGCTGAGTGTGTCATGGCCTTGACCCAAACTCATTTCAGCAAGATCAAGGTCACTGGTAGCAAAAATTGTTTAATTTGTGTCTAGTTCATTACTATCTAAGAGAGAGAAAATTTTGAGTTAAGTAAGTAAACTTTATTTAGAGTAGGATGTTTTCATGTAATAAAAACATATGAGTTTAAAAGCTCTTAAATTGAGTAGAAATTCTTTTTTTTTCTATAAAAGTTTGGTTCACAAAGCAGATAGAAAAATTGCACTTTTTTCACAATCAATATTGTGATGAATCATTTAGTTTACCAGTATAAAAGAAAATAGGTGATGGCAGTAGGAACTGGAGAAGTGGGTGGAGGTGGAAGAGGGGGGCATCCCCCCCCCCCCCAATAATTTTGCCAGTATATAGTATACTATAAAAAAAACATGGCTACTTAAGTGCCCCCCAAACCCCCACCCCCACACCAAAGTATTATATTTAATAATAAACCTAGATTAATATTTGCTGTTTTTTTAAAGTTTGCAAAGTTTGTGGCCACAGAAGAAATTGGGTTTGCATATCTTACTGGTCTGTGACATCGTTTCAAACCCCGGCCAAAGTGTATGATCCTCTCCCATTCTGGCCATGGTTGAATGAAAAGGGAATTTTGTGTAGCTCATTAAAATATTGACCAATGCCAGCTAGTACTGCATAGTTGGAAAATGACCTCTATCCTGACCTTTCAATACCTTGCTATTTATTTAATATTAATGATTTCAATTGCAATAGAAACAATTATTTTCATTGGTTTAACATTGCGTCACAAATTAAGGGCATAATTATCCAAGATTATGATAATTCATGTGATCAAGCACTTTAGCAGCCACAGGTAGGAGAGCTATATGTGTATCCAGACTTAAAGCTGAACAGGACTCGTAAATAGGCATATGCCATTTTCAATATTACTATCTATGATATCAGCACCGGGGTATACTCTTCGCATTTGTTACACCTGACTGCTATATTGTCACAGGATGGCGACCCGTGTTTGTGCTGATTGTCTTGCATTACCTTTATTTACATTTCATTGCAGTTATGTGTATTTGTGTTTGTTCGTATACTGCACTGACCTGTGCAACTGTTGTAAGTTTCTTTGGTATCTTACTCTCCTGCATTAGAAGAAGTACATAGTTATATCTTTCGCTACCGAGTGCTGTATAGCATATGTCCATCTACACCGGTGATGATTGCTTACACTGAACAGTGACAATTAAAGTGAGCGGCTTTATATAGGGACCCTCAGATATAGCAAGAGACCAATCGAATATGGCAGACAAATTCCTTTTATGAATTTTGTTCAACTTTAACTTGAAATGATGGGTCTGTTACTAAGTTGACTAATTTCTCATTTAGCGTAATATGTAATTTCTTGATAGATATGTATAAATACTGACTAAAATCAATTTATGAATTTAAGGTAAGAAGAATGAAAAGAATTGTGCCAAAGTTCCCAGAGTGTGTGAACTTATTGACCGCATTCCACCAGCTAAGTCCTGTACAAGAGGACAGGTAATGAGAAATTGTTAATACTGAAACAGTTAAAAAAATTTATGATGCATAAGTTTATGAAGTGATAAGGTTCATATTTTTTTGACAGTGTAATTGAGATGAAAAATATTTTTTCCAAGAAATTTTTCATAGATTTTGATATGTACAATAATGAAGCATTGGATTATGATTTTTTGACAGATGTAGTCTCATAATGCAACCATGTGTGCAAACAAATTGACTAATGCGTGTTAGTGCATTCTGAAAATTTGTTTCCACACACCATTGCAGTTATGACACTACATCTTTCAAAAAATAATCATTCAATGCTTATATTTATATTTTTGAACTCCCTACTTTGTCTGCAAATGTGATTTATACGAGATTGTATTTCAAAATCCCTGTATTACTGTGGAATCATCATTGTTCATGGGGGATCAATGTTTGTGGATTTTGTAGGTGACCCTTATCCACGAATTTACATCCCCACGAACAATTTTTTTGTCAGTGTACTGATTAATTAAATCTACCAAATAAACGAGCTGCCCACGAAATACATCCCCACAAACCAATAAAGTTTTGCTTGCCCACGAACATTGACCCCCACGAAATTAAATGATTCCACAGTATCCTTTGGATAAGTTACAGTTGACTTTGATTGATTAAACTTTTGACCTCCCCATCTGTGTTTGGTGCTTTGAATACCAACTTTTCACACACTTTATGAGCAAAATACATGTGGAATGCAAATATGATATTATGGATAATATTTGCATGTTGGTGTACAAGATTTCATGAATGTTTATCCAAAGACCTTGAATCACTACACCTAACAAATGAACAGATGAAACTTGCTAAGCAAACACATTTTTGTGCTTAACGAAACCTGGTCAAAGTTCTATTCAATACTTAATTTTATATCTGTAAAGCTAGTTATGCTCAATCTCACAAAATGTTTTGATACCTGTTTAAACGTTATCCCTATCATTAAGCTTCATTGTAATTGACATTTTCATTTTTCCTGTGAAGCATTGGGTTTTAAATTATGTAATTATTATAGAATCACCATACATGTAGCTTGGGCTAGGAGGGAAAAGTGCATTCCAAGTATTTTTCTCCATCAAAATTCACCAGAACTCACAACCAAATTACTTAATTTGAGATGCTAGTAATAATCAAATTTCTAAAAGTGATCATATAATATAGGTGTGTATGTATATTAAATGATAGGTAAAATACTCTCTGATGAAGCCTGGAGTTCATGTTTGGCCTCACTGTGGACCAACAAACTGTAGAATCAGAGCCCACTTGGGACTGGTCATACCAGAGGGTCCAAAAATTAGAGTGGCCGATGACACAAGGTAACATACATGTATATAATGTACAATATATGTACCATAGTTTTTTTATAAAGCAAATCAAATGTTAGGAGATTTTTAGGTCGCCTGAGTCACTTAGGTGACCTATTGCTATCTGTTTTCATCCTTTTCATGCATTGTGCATTAATATTTGAAAAATTTCAGCTTCTTCTCTGGAATCACTGAACCAGTTTCAACCAGTTTTGATATAAAGCATCCAAAGGCAAAGGGAACTAAATTTTTGATGTCGTGGTCTCTAGTAGCTGCCTCACCGGGGCCTAAGGGATGGGAAACTGTTAACATTATTACAATAAGAATTGAGCCCTCTACCAAAATTTTGAAATTATAGCCCCAGGGTCATGGATTCTGGTGTTAGGGTGGTGCTCTGTAGATCATACAGTGAAAAATGCATAAATTCTTCAAAAACCTTCTCTGTTTTTGGGTATTTAGCAGTCAAGTTAAGGGCATAAATATTGTGAGCAAAGGCACCTCTTCCAAAATTTTGAAATTTGTGGCCCTGGGCAAGGGGTTCTATTGATCATGTAGTGAAAATGCCTTAATTCTTCAAAAATCTTCTCTGCTCTTGGGTATTTAGCAGGCAAACTAAGTACATAAATATAATGAAAAAGTATGTGCTCCTTTCAAAATTTTGAAATTTTTTCCCCTGGGTCAGAGGGTCTGGAGTTAGGGCAGGGCTTTATTGATAATATAGTGAAATTCTTTGAAAATCATCTCTGCTCCTGGGTATTTAACAGAAACACTAAGTACATGGATATGATGAGCAAGAGTGCCTTTTCCAGAATGGAGAAATTCATGGCCTAAGGATTAAGAATTCTGGAGTTAGGGCAGGGCTCTATTGATCATACACAACTGTAGTTAAAATATATTAATTCTATGAAAATCGTCTCTGCTTCTATGGTACATGTATTATGCAGACAGATTAAGTGCATGGTTGTGATAAGCAAGAGTACCACTTCCAGTGTTGAGAGATTCATGGCCCCAGGGTCAAGGTTCTGGTTTTAGGATGGGGCTCTATTGATCATATAGTGAAAATGCATTAATTCTTCAAAACTCTTCCCTGCTCCTGGATATTTAGCAGAAGACTAAGTATATGGTTATGATAAGCAAGATCGAATGTTCCTTCCAAAATTGTGAAAATCGATCATGTTCCATGGGTCAGGGGTTCTTCAGTTAGACTCTATAAAAGTCATGTATGGAAATAAGAGAAATTATTGCCTTTTATTATTCACATATATTAATTAATCACTAAAATAAATAATATATTTGATAAGAATATTGAATTAAAGAATTATACAAGAATTTTTAATGTATGAAACAAAAAGTACTTTTTGTAGTTTTTAATGGTCAAGTAGACTTGTAAATGAATAAATAAATATTATATAAAAATTTCTTATATTTGTACATTGAATATAATTAAAAGATCAAGAGAGACCATTAAGGCATGGAGATCCACTATAGTGTTGTGTAGTTTGGCTTACTTAGCACTAGGAAGTAAATAGGCTCTATACTTTCTGAGTTGTTGCTGATTACTACACTAACTTATTTGTTGATCCTTGATTGTCCTATTTCTCTTATTTTGAGCAACATATCTTCATCAATCAGTTTATTTTGTCTTAAATTTTTATATAATTATTAAATTGACTTTCCATTAATCCTTTATGGGGTTGTATTATACTCAGGTGACTGTTAAGGCCCTGGGGCCTCTTGCGTTTTACCTTCTTTTTTTATTATTATATGCAAAGAACAATTTTTTTGACAAATTAAATCATGATTGACTGCTTAATTGCCTTTGAAATATTTGCAAATATGATCATGATGCAGTTGCAGATGTTGGTTGTATTCTCGCATTTTAATGAAACTTATTTTGCAGTTTTTTTTCTCTCTCAGAAATGAAAAGCTAGAAATTATCAACTCTTAAAAATTATATATGATATGTATAAATGTAATACTAGCTGAGATATGAAATTGTAAAATAAATCTTTTAAAAGGTTGTCTGCTGGTTTTAAACATTTGCTATAAAGATTTATTTTGGTCCTCATTTTAGAGGATTAAAAGATCTACTATAGGTCTATCTACATGTAGAATTACTTTGGATTAATTTGTATATTCCATTGCTATGGATTCCTTTGTGTATGTAGTATCAAGTAATATTGATAAGATTCCTCATTTTGTATTAATAACAGAACTTGGAAGGAAGGCCAGTTCATCATTATTGACGATTCCTTTGAACATGAAGTATGGCACACAGGAACCAAAGATCGCCTGATCCTGATTGTGGATTTTTGGCATCCAGATCTTGATGAAAAAACAAGGAAAACATTGGATCCTATATGAGTTGAGGAGGATGCTTCTAGGATTTTGTTAATTAATGAACTATTTTTACAAAAAAAAAAAAATTGTCTTCTTTCTGAAAATCTGTTGAGTTGGTTATGAAAATGGTGGAGGTTATATGGAAAAAGAATCTAGATGAATAGTTTGATGCTACGTGTATGTGAAAATTATTTAATGTATGTTTGTGTGGATGGAGGCATAAAATAGAAATTGTGTGTTTGTAAACTAACACAGAAGAATGATGTTTTAAAAATGTATTGTTATAGAAATAATGGTATAGTAGTTTAATACATAAGTTATATAAATGATGTAGAAAAAATATGATATCCAGATTATGAATCAAAACTGTTGATCGTTTGAAAGAAGTTTTGTGTGTGTTTTTAACTGTTTTAGAAATGCAGCCTTTTACCATACAGTGAAAATTGACTTGCTCTTTATATGGTTGAATATGAATAATATAATGTATCCCACATCCATTTTCAGTGACTTGAATTCATAAAAGATCTCAAGAAGCTTGGCATGTACATAAAGTCATTGCTGGTGTGGCTATAAACCTACACAAGTCTATTTTCTTTCACCACCATTACATTTCAAAGGGAAATAACTGAGATCTCATGATTGTACTAAAATTCTATGCAATGTACATATATAAATACTTGACATCACTTTTTATAAAGGCTTTGCACAGATCATGTGATTTTGACAAATACATCTATGTATGCTTTTTGTTATTAAAGCAATTACATTTAATACAATTAGATATTCCGAAATATTTCTGTCATATCATGCATGCATATTCAGAAAAATGTCATAAATGAGTTTAATGATTTTTATGATGTACATTCATATAAATTTTTCAATAGATTTAAAAAAATCTATGAACAGAATACACATCAAAATGGAAAACATCTTGCCTTTGAACAAGCTAATGGATGTTTTGTGTGTGATTTTTTGGAGCATGAATGATAACCATTTACCAAGGCTAGGTTGTACCGTTATATGTTAATGTGATATACACATTATTTTGCTAAGACAGAGTAATAGTAAACTGCTTTATCCCACCAGACAATACATGTAGTTTTGATTAGAAGGAACCTTTTTTATGTTTTGAATGGGAATAATTCACACATTTCTCAAAATTTTTGAAATGGCAGTATTTGCTTTTGATCACAGTGTTTCTGATTAAATTTGCAAAATGATGATTTTTAGATATAAAGTTTACCTGTTTTTAGCCAGAGTTAAATGTTTGTGAGTTATTGTTATTTATACAAACATGTTAATAGATTATTGTTATTGATCTAGTCTATTTGTTAAAAGGGAATATTTTATAAAGACATGTTAGTAATTCAGATCTGTAAAATAAAATTTTGTTTCCCCACAGTGAAAGGTTGTTCTATGTATATAGCAGGGGTAATTTATTTCAGGAAAGTATAAGATTTGGATAAAAATGAAATTGGTGCAAATATTAAGTTGCAATAATAATTATCAATATTAACTATGCAAATCTGTTGTATTGTGACAAAAGAAAATGTCATAAGAATGTTGTTATTTTTTCATCAGGGGTTTACCAAAATTTTTGTTATTTTTTTATCTGAAGATGTGAATTATTCATTGTCTAAATGTGCCATGAAATCTAAAAACAAAACATTCCAAAGCTTTATGCGATAATGCTACTGCTTTATGTATTTTGGTGCATATAAACCCATTCACATTGACAATTAAGCAATATATTTTCTTTTTTTGTTGTACCGTATAACTGCTTTTTTAAAATGAAATGAAAATTTTGTGAAAATGAAGTCACACAGCGCTATTTTTAATTTCTGAGATCATATTTTGTTTTTGTTTTTTTTTTTTCAAATGTTAGATGATGAGTTATCTCCCTTTTCAGGTGACTTTTTATGTAACATCTTGTGTTCCATTTTAATTTTTTGCAGTTCACTATTTGTCACATATATAGCTAAAATTAAATCATTAAGAAAAAAGTTAAATGTTATTATTGTTATTTTCAATCAGGGTTCCCTATTTTTGTATAGATAATTTTTCTCTCTCAATTTTTTTTTGTTATCAGAACTGATCTTAAATCTCTGTATTTTCTTCCATATGATTACTAAAAGTCAATTTGATATCTATTTCAGAATCTTTTTTTTTTTTAAGTTGACCTTTATGTTGTTACTACATTTTTTAGAAGCTTTAGTAAACAGTATTGATCTTTTCATGACAATTCTGCATTTTTTGTTGCTCATCAGAATATTTCAGGTTAAAAAAGATGTGAAGCATTTTTTTTTTAAATGAGTTATTTCTTAATGTAATTTTATATACACATGTATTTGCCCCTGACTGGAACATTTTCAGAGTTATTACAATTTTTATGTTTATATTCTAGCTATTACCATTAATTGTGTGAAGGAGAGGTTTTTCATATTGAATAAAAAAGGTTGTCTTTTAGAATAATTATTGTATGTTATTGCTATTAAAGAAATGATATATATATTTTGAAAAGAAATATTGAAAGCCAAATTATGGTAGGAAAATTTATATGATTTTTTTTTTTTATGGTTGTAAAGTGAACAAAGGAAAGAGGAAATTTCATTTAGTCATTTTTTTTTTACCTGGTATATAAATCAGTTGGAATTTTTTTTTAATGCATTTTACATCATCAGCACACTTCATAGTGAATTAGTAGAAAGAAATCTTAGAACACATAAACTTTATTTGAACCATTCACACACGATGAACTTCTTTCATGTTCCTATGCATTAAGAATATATTGAATGCATGTTTCACTAAATGATTTTGTGTTTGTCACATTCAGTAACAACAATAAATATAAACCGTCATTCTTGTTGGAATATTTTATTTATACAATTAAAGATTACAATCACAAAGGTCCATATTGCAATGTTGTTAATCAGTGTATTTAAATTATGAAGAATTTTATTGGAAAAACTTTGGTTTACTAGAACATTGATTTGGTAAAATACAATCCTAGTATGTGTCATTGTGAAGAAGATACTATATCTTCAAAACAAAACATCATAACTTCATTTAGTTTCCCAGTTATCTGACTGATAAGTGTTGACTAAGTAGATTTTGGACTTAACACTCCAGGAACCATTTTACCAATTCCATTTGATTAAAAATATCCTTTTGAAAAGGAAATTCAAAGTAGGATAGACTCGGCTTAAAAAAAACAAAAAAAAAAAAAAAACTAGCACTACAGCATCAAAGATGGCTGACAAAGATATCTGATATGTGCAGTGCGAAACCTAACACATTGTCATAATTTTTGTCTCCACAAGTTTTATTAGGGGCCGAAGTGGAGCCATTATAAGTAATGTTAGTGGCCCATGAATTCTCTTTAAATACCATTTGGGAAAGGAAGAATAACGTAAAAAAAAAAAATCATATGCAATAGGATTATTTAGTCAGTTTTATGTCCGTTCTACAACTAGAAAAGCTGGTAACTCATTATCTGTAGTACTAATGAATTGTTAATAATGACTGCATAATTAATCTTTATGTACTAGTATATAATAATAATAAAAACGTACATTTTGAATAATGAACAAAATGCAAATTTCTAGAGGGTAACTTAGAACCCATGCTCAACACTTAAAGGGTAACGTAACTATAATCGTTAACTGGTTAATAAAGCTTATTATGCTACAACACCCCCCTCAGTCTCATTATAGTCATAGAAAGATGATAAATAGGTGAAAATCCAGAATATAAATTAAACAAATTAAAACCAACAGACAAAGTCAATACTTACTATTCTTGTTTACTAATACCATTTGTAAAAAACGAACGATAGTACTATTATTTCTGAACAATGTTTGATCCCTCCATTATTGGGTCTGACATCGCGATGGCCATTTTTGTGTGGCTGCACAAACATTTTATTCATTGTGCGTATGGAAAACATGTGCTTTTAAATTCAAGATAATGGCGCGTCCAAAAATGATGAATTCAAAAATAGTTTATCTGATTTAAAATCAATGATTATGTCATTTTACTAATAACTTCCTAAATATGGGCCGATTTTACACCACGATATAATAGAATGTAATCTTAGTGTGTTTATTATTTTCTACAAAAGCGTTAACCTGGTTAAGGTGTGAAATATGAAGTTATGATGTTTATGTTTTAAGTGATATACTAACAAAAGTTCTTAGGAACATTCATGTAAGATGAAATGACGTTGAAAATTACAGGTACCCTTATCATTTTCGGCTGGACTTTCAAGACAATTCGGTAAGCGATAAAATATTTAAAGTGAAAAATGAAAATATTGCCAGTATTAGATATAAACTATGTTATTTAAATTCTGTAGAGTACAAAGGCACTCAATTTGTCAGAAATGATAACAATGCGTTAATGTCAAAGCATTAGACCAGTTCACCTATTTTTGCATAATTGGCTGTGCATTGCAATAAATCTAGCAATTAAAATTATTTTAATATCTTGCACGTTATCTCGTTGATAACATCTTTTAGTACTTATCAATTTGGTATCGAATAATTGTCTATTTAAATTTAGTGTATTGTGCTATCTATTTAATCCTCGTAAAATTTGCAAATTTATCGTTTGTGCTCTATATAAAAAAATGTTTTATCTTGATCTTTCGCCATCAGGTGAACTTTACATTGAGAAAATCAGATCTTCTAAAATTGTGTTTCTCAGTTCGTTAAAAATGTGCAGACATGATAATATTTTTGAGCCCTTTATGATGGAATTTTGCTGAATTTGGATTAGTGTACTAATATTTTTCATCTAAAATCTTAACAATGGCGGACGTAAAGTTACCAGAAATAGGTCGACCAAATAAAGAAAGAGATGACAAAAAAGGTAACTAAACTATTTGTTTTTGTTAAACATAATATGGTCATATAAATGTGTTAAAATATGTAAAAAATGTAATTTTAAGAGGAAATTTTCTCCTGAGGTTTAAAAAAAGGCTTCAGTTGAGGCTAGGCGACGAGCTTTAACTACTTCATTGAAAATGAAATTGTATTTTTTGGAGGATTCTTTTTTTTCCGAAGACAAGTTTATGAAAGTTGGGGTTGAGAAAGGTTCCTGCAGGTATCGAATATGGGATCCCTTCTCCCAAAGCAAAAATAGAAAGCAATAGCTTCTGTTAGGAAAGACAATTATATCTGTAATACCCGCACTATATTAATGTTTGATTAAAGGATAAAATTAGCAAAAAATCTTTTTAAGATCTACATGACCAAAGAAAGATTTCATAGGAAGTGCAGATTCAAATTTGCATTATGTAAAGCTTGTCATTGCTTGATAAGTACTAGAAAATGCCAATGTCAAAAAGCTTTGCCACAACGCTTTTGCTGTAAATTGTAGCTAAGACATGTCATTGCCTGGTAATTACTGCATCTGAAACATAGCTCTAGATGGTTGTATATGTACAATGTATCCCCAATTAACATCCTTGTAAGTTTGGTCATTGTAGAGCTCCTGCTTAGTAAACCTGGGAATGAACCGATAAACCTCTTCAGAATTTTTTTTTATCTAACCAACCATCTGGAAAATAAAGGTCACATGCAGAATCAGAGATGCAATGTCTATGCAGATTTGGTCAATAGTTTAAGTTTCCATCTTAAATGATGAACAATGTAAATTAGTAATATGTAATAAGAGAAGAAAGTGTGATAATCGGAATAATTTAGAAAGTGCAGGTAAAAAATGAACCTGAGGTGTTGGATATAGAATCTACTTTTCGAATTTTTTGCTTGTCAAGATGTTTTGACCCCCTCCCTCGGCCCTAACGTCACGGGGACGGGTATCCTTTAGCTTCTTATAAATAACCCTTTCTATGTGCCGATCCGATGCTAAGTTCACAAGATAGTGCACTACAGGTACGAAACATGTACCCCTGTTAATAGTGTACTTTTTAGTGTTATCATAGGGGCTTGTCTTCCGGATTGTTAAATGTAAAATAATTTTAAAAATTTTTAATCTTCTTTACTTATATACTTAAACTGTATATAGGTGTGGTACGTCTTTTTTAAACATGGTTTTTCTTGACTGAAAGTGTCAGAATCTCTATTTTAACAACTTTTAAGTGTATTTAAAGAAGATTCAAAATTTTTGAAATTATTTTACGTTTAACAATCCGGAAGACAAGCCCCTATGGTGTGATTGCTCACACTGTCTCCGTTTTATTTGACAATACATTTATGATACATACGCTTTCATAGTTACCCTAAAGAAAATGGGTTGACTTTGAGGTCATCATTTGGTCATTAGACTCTAGATAAGGTCCTTTTTCTTCTACAAAATGCTTACCCTTTCTTAGTTCCTTGTATTTTAAGTACGGGAATAAAGAGCCGATTAAAGTAAGCACATGTGCCTTCAGATAAATTTATAAACTTTCTTATTCGTTACATCATGGAACTTTTTATTTATTATTTATTAATTTACTCCTTTAAGCTTAAATCCATTAGACGCGATGCATTCCTCTATGACCATCAAGGATTTCTAAATCAAATGCTCATAAATCCAACTGGATACTTTTACAAATTTGGCAAACACAATGAAAAATTAATTTGAATAAAATTTGTACACACCTATATCGGCAATCCTATCTCTAACTTTTGTTGTAATTTTTTTTTTTTTTTTTTACAAACTGAATTCTTCTTTTCGGTTTTACGCATGATTTTGGGGGGAAAATACGTATATTTCACAGCAAGTTAAAGGAGGAACAAAGATAAAATTCAGCGAGAATTTTCAACAATTATATATATGGCTATATTTATTGAACTGTGTTATTAACAGAACAAACAAGTGAAAGAAATAATATGATTTTCATCCCAAACTGAATTTCTTTACACGGACTCTACACAACTATTCAGATGGTCAAAGTTTGACTATATATTCCTCCGACAAGGATTTGGATTAAGATGTATTGAAATTTGTGACCCACAGTTGTAAAATGTCACAGATAGTCGATGCTTTTAGTTTAATGTCGGATTAAAAGGTTAGAACGAGAAAGAAAGTCCGGTAAAACCTAATGGAGAACTCATTGTTAATATGTATTTAAATTAGTAACACTTATAATATACCCGATTATTTCAATACATAAATGCGCATTGTTTTCTCTTCTAAATAAGTTAATCGGTTTGCAAACTTAAATGATACTTAAAGGTCCAATACAGGTTAATTGATCTATTGCGTTTTCTTCTATAAGGATAAATAATTTTGCATTGAAGAACGTAAATATAGTTATGCAAGAATAAGAGTTAATCGATTTCTTACGAAAATAATGGTTTTGATATCCTCAAACACGAGAAAGAAATTTTCAACCCTCAAGTCTATCAAGAAGAACCCCCTGTGGCCCCTTTTTTGCCTGGTGATACTTGATCCTTGACCTTTTCCGATCTGGCCACAAGAGTGTACAGTTTCTATGGTCTATCCAGTTATGGAATCTGGATAAAAATCCTCTTCATTTAGAAGTGTGTATACTTTTATTTGGAATATATCTTCTCTTTTTTGTAAGATTCACGACCGGACACTAAAGAAAACCTTGAGCATCTTCCCGAAGTCAAGAGCCCGGGGCCGAAAGAAGCTGAAAAGGACAAAGAAACACAGGAGACCAGTTTACCTCCTATAACCGACAAGAAAAAATCCAAACCTAAAGCAACCGAACCAGACAAAGTTCAGAAACAGGAGACTGTAGGAGACGGCAAAACTTTGACTGGAAAAGTTGATCAGAAGAAAAAAGTAGATAAGGTCTTAGACGCTGTTCGCGAAAGAAAAGTAGACAAGAACCTCTCAAAGCCTCCCAAAAGAGATAGACAGACAGAGAAAACTCAGGAACTACCTCATCTCCCAACTATCAAAGAGGCTACTGACTCTGAGGAGGTCATCGCCAAAAGATTCCTAGCGTAAGTTTATACAAATAACTTTTTTTTTATTTTTGGTATCTTTTCAAAATTAACTTCTGCATCACATAAGTTTATATTATTTTGAAATCAAACTTGAAGTCACGTTTTTTCCATCATATCTTTATTATGCATTTTTTTTGTCTTACATTGCTTTAAATTCTGGAAGCATTGTCCATTCATTTTACTTATTTATTTTTGCAATTGTCCCTTACCGTTTTAAGACTCTTGATGCATTGAACGTTTATTTGCAGTCTACGAAAGCGAGAAGTTGCATTTAAAAAACTATTCCACGTTAAAGAGGTCCACGTTTTTGATCACAATATGCTACCAAGGATAAACCCGTAAGTCTACAGTGACAATGTTCTCTCTTTATTTTCTTGAATATATAAAATATGGACGATATCGAACTTAAGGTATGTGATTTATCGATTTTACAAGCATATTTTTTATGTAAATTGTTTCATGATATTAAGCTTCCAATCATGTCAAATTTTGTTTTATCACATATAAAATATAAGAATATATACAAATCGGTTAACTCTTTTCATACATGTATCTCCAGTTTTGCTGTAAAAGTCCACATCAACTCTGTCTTGATGGCAATAAGATATGGATTATTGTGTATGGCTTGTTGATTTAGATGATAAATCCTTGTGTTTTCAGAAGCAAATCCAATCTCATATCGAGGTTGGATCCTTACACAGTGGAACAAGGAGAGAAAGAAATGAAAAGAATCACAAGGTCCATCGTGAGTATTTTCTATTACATTAAACGGTTCTACTGTATATATCTTACTATATTAACCGTAAAAAAGTGCTACCTAAGGCATTTATAGATTAAGAAATCGAAAATAAAAGGCAGATTTCAACGATGTCAATTATTCATGAAAAGAAATATGTTTTTAGCCATCAAACCCCGACTCAGACCATGGTTACAGATACAGAAAGACAGCGGTAGACATGATGAATCCTTGGGATTTCTTGGAATTAGACAGTGTAGAATCATCCCGTAGAACAATTCCACGCTACAGAGGATCACAAAAGTATCAAGTTCTCTAAGTTATGCACAGCAAAAAAAAAAACAAAAAAAAAAAAAAAAAACAAACAAACAAACAAACAAACAAACAAACAAATAGTTTTGCTAAAATGTTCTCTAAAACACATATCCATTATTCGCTCTATGTTTACGTGTTAAAATGCAGCTTGTAAACGAAATATAAACGGAACTTTTTTTCAGGCGCCGTAGGGATTATCCAAACAGACCCCCACCCAAGGGCAGCACATATTTCCCCCAATTCCCTAACGTAAACTATCCTTACGTTCAAGCAGAGAGTCCCACACGTATGTTTGAACTTGACGATGTGCCAAAAGTTAGGTGAGGAATGGGTTGTTTCACTTCTTTTTCATGATTTTAATCTGTCGTGAAAATAACACTTTGATGTGTTATCTTATAAGGATGATATCTTTAGGGAAACACTTTATAGGGGCCTGAACACAGATTTGAGATTAATATTTTATAAAATTTTCAGCTTAAGATTATGACTTATATATGATGCTAGAGAATTTCACGCAAAATAATTATAGATGCAGAGACACAAAATCAAATATTCGAGGAAATAATCGTCTGACCTTAACTACACCGCAAATACAACGGTCTTCTTTTTGCGTTAAATTGTTAGATTAACATCTCTATTGCCATAAGAGTACATTTACAGATCGATATGATCGATAGATATAATGAAGTATATGTAAATTTTTGTGTTTAAATTTGAAAAAAAAATTGTACAACTTTATTCACGAATATTGATTTCCTCAAAACTACTCTCTTGTTTTCTCTGTAGAAAACAACTGAAAAAGAAATGGAGTAAACGCTCACCTGAGAGAGTAAAGAAGGATTATACAAAAACAAAGAACGACTTTTACCGTATGGAGCTTGATAAACTGAACGAAATGCGTCCAACATACAACCGACCCAGTATGGTCAACACCTATACTGCCTATCTACAAAACACACCAGGTTCCAAGCAGGCCCTGGACGAATGCATCAGTGGAATCGAATCAAAACTTCTTCGAGATGAGGCTAACGTCAGTCTCTTGCCAAAACATCCTAGACCCTCACTAAAGAAGTCACATTCCACCCTGACCAGCGGGAGAAGTACCCGCCAGAGAGTCATCAAGGTCGTGGATACGCCCATAAAAGTCGTAGAAACGCCCACAGTTGATGTACCAAGGTCCGCCCTGCATTCTCGGCAGACGATTGAATCTGCGGGTTAATTGAATTGCATACGGAAAGTCAAAATAAACAATCTTTTATCATCATGATCTGCTGAGATTGTGTCACCTTTCACAGAAAATAACATCAGAAGACACCAGTTGACCATTTCTGTGTATTTGTCGACAGCCTTCAAAACATTTTTTGATAGAGACATTGTATACATTCATTTCATGATTTTAAAGCCTATTCATATATATTATATATGTTTTGCCCTTCTGTAAAACCAATTGCGAAAAAATTTAGAAACAATGAAACTGCTTTTGATTACGAGCCATGTTCTTTATTGAATTAAATAACAATAATTATAATGTTTTTAAAACTTACTCTAGTAAAGTAACTTTATCTCACATCATACTTTTGTTTAAGCATCAAATTTTTATTTTTGGATGTCGTCACACCTGGCCGTGCCGAAAAATTGAATACCGCGCTAACGCGCGGTATGATATTTTTAGGGTTCTGTGTTTTCTTATGGCACCTGATCCCACCTCTGATATTTTTAGGGATCTGTGTTTTCTTATGGCACCTGATCCCACCTCTGATATTTTTAGGGGTCTGTGTTTTCTTATGGCACCTGATCCCCCCTCTGATATTTTTAGGGGTCTGTGTTTTCTTATGGTACCTGATCCCCCCCCCCTCTGATATTTTTAGGGGTCTTTGTTTTCTTATGGCACCTGATCCCACCTCTGATATTTTTAGGGATCTGTGTTTTCTTTGTATTTTGTATTTAAATTTGTATATGGCTTAAAACTGTTTTCTTAATATTACTTTATACTCCGTTTCATATTTGGATTTTATACTGATTATAAAAGTTAATGCCAGCTAACAACTAAACTTTATGTATATTACCAATGGGATGACTTCCAAAAATCTCATCGCCAACTTGATACATGTATATTTTTAGTAATATTCTATCGCCTGCATATAGTGTTTAAGTCTTCTAACTTATAAAGTACGCCAGGGTATGCTCTGAGTACGATCATCTTTTAAACAGAGGCAGGACACTGACAAATAAGATGTAGTTACAGGGCTTTCAACAGTCCTTAATCAAAGTCAGCATTTCGAAAAGTCCTGGGTCATCATACTGACCTTGTTAGCAAATGCATTTATATTTTTCCATATTTTTTTAAGATTTCGTAAGGTTATATATTTTGTAATTTTAAAATTATAACTTAACAAATTTACAAAAATCTATGAAGGCCATAACTTTTATAAATACGGATTATAATATAAAAGTATGATGCCGTTGAAGCCAATAAAAAATATATAATTATTCGGACGAATTCGATATATATTCTGACAAGATATTTGTGTGGACAAAGGGGTTCTTGCTTAAATACAAATTATATACATTTAGAAGAAAGTAATGCAATTGTTTTTGATCGGAATTGTTCGGACGAACTGCATGTTTGCCTGGACAACTTAGTGAATTACATATTTGGTGTTTCTTCTTTATACAAGATTTATTATTTTTACTAGCTATAGAAAAATTGAGTGAAGTCGATTATCATAAATTTATCATAATATTTATCATAAAGAAAGATCATTCTATTTGAAAGATTGAAATATCATCCCTGTATCCTCATTTTTTAGTATTTTGGTCCACGGGCCTTTTGATTTATCATAAGTTTTTTGACCACAATGCAATATCGCCGAAATAAACACAAAGACGCACATGTCATGTGCTTGTATCAATACAGTATATATATATATATATATATATATATATATATATATATATATATATATATATTAATATATATATATATATATATATATATATATATATATATATATATATATATATATATATATATATATATATATATATATATATATATATTCACAATGTGATTAAAAAAATCATATACGCAGTTTCTTTCCTCCGTGAATGTTTGAACCAACATCAATGTGACTTGCGATTTATTGAAATAAAAAAAAGAACCCACAACGATAAAATGTGACAAGACAATATTTAATATCATGATACACACATTGACAAATTCTAAATTACAATTTTTGTACGTAACGCTTAAGCGAAATTCTTTATTAGCTGAACTGTAAAACGAACAACAATTTTTAATATTTATAAGTTGTACTATACAATTACACTAGAATCATGATTCGAAGTGAAATTTTTTTTTAAAAGAATTGAAATATCAAGAAAAGGTATTTGAAAGATCTAATCATGTAATCATGCTACATTATTAAACACTGAGTCCACAATCTTCTTCTTTGTCAGGGTTGTCACAAAATTCATATGGAATATATATACAAAACCAACAGGCTGATAACGATTACCGAAGTGTATTGCAAGATTGTAAACGTATTGTGGAGAGAAATTTTCGAAACAAAACAACCTTTAGATATCCCAGTCTCTTTACCGAAGTGAGGACACTTGTACTCTTCCAAGCAGTAAATATTTTACTTCGGCTAACAATTATGTACTTCCTGATCTACAACTTATCTACAACTTGCAATCCCTGCACTGGTTAATGTAATAAAATATGGAGAAAAGGAACAGTATTCAAGCTCAAAGTCCATTTCGAAAAGACACATCGGGGGCAGAGCAAACACGGACCTCAACTGGGAGACAAACACCTCATACGCAGGTGATAAAGGTATACTGCTACATAAGTTATGGAAGTTGACGATTGAAAAATTGAAGCCATCACGTTTATCATAAAGCTTTGTTGTTAGATTACCATTAAAGTGTTTTTCTAGTAAAATATCCAAATATGAAACAGATGTTAGTGTCTCGCAGACATTTTTTCCTCTCTGTATCTTTTGTAGTATCTCATTCTGACTTTTCTCAGCTTGCAGTGCACGACTTCACAAATATTTACCCCCCTCCAATGCTTCTCTAATAAGTAAGACTTTGAGCTTTCTTTTAGTCTTCGTACATAATAATATACTGTATTTAATTCTTGAATCAAAAGCGGAAGTCTTATTTATATCTGCCATTTTGTCATTTAACAATAAAGCTTACTCCGAAAATATCAAAATGATATTAAATATATATATATATATATAAATTGTGTTAAATTGAAATTTAATATAAAGTTATTAAAAGTTTGATAAGAACTTGCTTTTTATATTAGACTAAACTGAAATGGCTTTAATATTACTATTTTCCATATAAAACGTGTTGGATTTCAGAAAAAACACAGCACTACCGGTCATATACATGTATAAAACTAAATTACACAGAAACATCAATATTTGCTGCAACTTTTTACATGGGTTTAATCTGTGAATGATGACTGCATTAATTAACAGACTCAGTAATTGTGACTGTAGATCTCTTTTCTGTTGATTTTCTCTCATTCTTCCACTTCATTCCAAGTGGCAGGCCAAATCCCAAATAAAGAAAAATACCCTGACCTGCACTAAAGACTATGTGCAAGATTGAAAATACTTGAAGACTGGTGAACTGAGCAAGGAAACCAAAGACCCATGACATGCCAGTCAGAGTTGATAACCGGAAGTAGGCACCAACTCTATTTTGATCCTTGGATTTTCGCATGTCTCCCTTCTCAATGATTCGGCTTACTGTCACAACAAACATAAAAGTATTGATACAGACAGTAACAGCAACAGGTACAGCAAAAGTATAAAGTATCATATTGGATTCCGCTATGTAACAGGTGCGAGGAGAATACCCTAAACTTTGACCCTCACTGAAACTATAGCTTATAGTGACATTAATGCCGATCAGAAGAAGACAAAGAAGGGTGTTAATGAGCAGAAAACAAAGCACATTGGATTTTCGTTTGAATGTGGGTACTGTAATGTTGGTAAAAGTTTGAAAGATTTGAAAGGAAGAGAGACTCATCCAAAAGACAACGGATAACCAGGAATAATGAACTAATATACCGGCCACAAAACACACTGCCTCGCTTTGTTGGAAAAAAAATGAGAAAGTGTAGATAGTGTTTGCAAATATTAGGAAGAGTGATAGAATGATGATATTGGTCCCTGGGGGATTAATACTCTCTTTCTGAACAAGATATGATATGATTGTTAACAGTGACCCACCAGAGGATAAAGAAAGACAAATCACGGAGAGATAGGTATTCACAATATCGTTTGAGGTTGCTTTTTGAATGGATATTCGATTTGAAGCTCGATTATACCAGTCGAGGCATACCTCAAATTGTTGATTGCTATTATCTTTCTTAAAGTATCTAGAGGGGATGCATAGGTTGTAGTCTAAAAGACACAAGGAATAATTGACCAGTTTTGTTTTAGTATCTTCTGTTGATATCTTTATCTTCGGACAACGGTACCAGTCCGCCACAACTATTGTCGATGATACTTCGGAACAAGACTGCGAATTTTGGGATTCTAAACGAGATGCTGGAAATATTGATGAGATAGTCATGGGGTTAATAAAGTGATGACACAAAGAAGACGTGAAATGCAGATTATCCTCTTCTAAATGAAACTTCTGTCCTATTATAAAACTTGAAACGTTCATATCATAACCATGTAAAGTAGTGGTAAGAGTGATAATACGATCTTTTTGAAACGCGTGCAATATTTTTTCAATCATTTTATCGATATCATGTCCTTGATTTACAGAGAAGCCAATGAGAGCCCCCAGATGATCTTCATTGTTCTCCCCAAGTTCAAGGATCTTCATCACACAATAATACTCACTAAGGTTATTTTGTGCCATGTCATTTTCTAAAATATTCCTCAGATGCTGTGCTACCGCATGGAGGTTTCTTTTTTCAACCTTATGCGAGAGTTTGAAAATCATACTCAGCTCGTAGTTATTTTCTCCCCATTCCGAAAACTTAGGACGACATTCCAGGCTCTGATCTAAGACGTATTCTTTTTCACATGTTAGGTCCAGACATTTTCCCTATAATATTAATGATAGTTTTTTGTATATCACATTCTTGCATTTTTCACTGAGCACACACATTTATTAGGAAAAATCATTTTCACTCATATGTCATTTTATCAATTCTACTGGATAAAAACTATCAAAAATAATTTGTCTGACAGGCATGAAATATGAAAATAACGAACAACATTCAAGCTTAAAGTCCATTAAAACAA